TTATAGAAGGAAGTTGTGCTGTCTTAACAAGTGTTCGTAATTGATTTAAACAAGTGTTTTCAAACCAACACATCAATGATGATTTTAATACAGAATTCATAACTGAACAACCGCCTCGTATACCATCAAGTTGCCAATTAATTGACCAACCATCTCCGTTAGAAATAAAAAGTATATCATCTATATTACATGTTGAATCAAGAACACAATAACATTTATCACCGCTTGCATCAAGAGTATACATAGCATCTGTTATGATCTGTATAGTGTTTGCTCCATTTGACCAGTACCATAATGTTGTGTCAAGATCAGTACTTGCTATCATATGACTTAAATATTGATTACTATGAAGTAATCCATTAGTTAAATTCATTCGATAAAGATATTCATGTTTTGTTAATTGAATAAATGTATTTATTGCTGAATTTATTTGTGAATAAAATAAATCATTTGTTAAAATTTGACCATGAACAAATGTTGTTGTTGTTAAAAATCGATTAATTTCATTATTGATTATTATTTTAGCAATATCACAAAATGATGCTAATGTTTGAAAATATGATGAAGCAATTGATAAAAAATCAAGTTTAATATCAGAAGTATTATAAGGAACAAAACTTTGATACCACCATGATTGAATAAAATCACTTGTACATATTTGATGATATTTTACTTCGATTGTTATTAAATCTTTATAAGGTATAGATATTTGAGTACATGGACATGTTAATGTTGATGAATATTTTTCTTCTAATTCTTTATATTCTTCTTCAGATGGATTTCTTATGATTTCACTAACTATTTCATTTCGTGGATATGAAAACAAAATAATAATAGATATTGAAATTAATAATAAAATAATATATAATCGTGTTGCTAAAACACCATGATAAACACGTATTGGATCACGAGAATATTTACTGTATAAATTAAAATTTTGGACTTTATTTTTGAATTTTAGAAAAAATTCTTTTGGCCGAACTAAAATAATGTTTATTGAATATTTTATTCCTTTTTTTTGCTTAAATCTTACTTTGATTTTGTTGATTTTGTTGATAATTATTTGAAAATAGAATTAATTGAATAATATATGGAGTAATTATATGTAATACAGTTGTTATTCCTCCAAGAAGACCAGTAAATATTATAAGAATATAAATCCAACTAAAACTATGTATATAAGTGTATTGACAAACACTGGGTGAGCATTGAGAATAATATTTTGTATAATTTGTTGCATTAAAAATCTCTTCAAGAAAAAGTTCATTGATAAGTAATTCAATTTTTGTTGTTGAAAGAAAACGACTTGATAAAGATTGATTAAGAATTAAAATATTTAATGGATTTTTATAAGATGATAAAAGAATATTTAAACATGATCGATTATAAAAACATTCTAATGATGATGAAAGTGTCATTTGAGATGGTAAACAATCAATTAGTATACCAGATAATGTTTCATTTGCTTTAATTTTACTTAAATCATAAATTCCAAAAGTTTCAAAAATTTTATATAAATAAAGATTTCCAGGTAGAGGACATGAACCATTATTTTGACAAGAACAAACTCGTGTTGAATTGTTTAATATATATTTATTTCCAAATAGTCCCGTATAAAGAGATACATTCATATAACCAATATCGTATACAGGATTATATGATGCTAACCCAAAGTTTTGTGTTACAGCAACATAATTTGTTAATAATCCAGTTACTAATTGATTTGCTTGTGTAATTTTATGAACAATTGTCATTGATTGTGTTAACGTCGATAATGCTGTTTGACGTGATAAATAAAGAGCAGCTTCAACTTTTGCATCTAATAATTCTTCAGTCAATAGCATTGTATTAACTAATGGAGAATTATCAAATTGATTAAGTGCATCTGTGATTATGTTTATTGAACTTTGACAAAATGTTCGTATTAATTGCCACATTGCACTCAAACTTGTTCGAACATCTATTGGCCAAATAGATGCTGAATTTGTTTGAAATATGAAATTGATCCATTGTTGAGAAATAAAATTACTTGAACATACTTGATGAAATAATGGACTTGTGTGAACAAAATTTCCGTAAGGAATTGAAATTTGTGTACATGAACATTGTAAACTATCGGCATATTTCTTTTGAAGATCTTCATAAATAGATTGACTTGGTAATATTACAGTTTTATTTTCAATTCGATTACTTAACGAAGTATATGTTATTAAAGTAATGAGAGAAATAATAACAAGAATACTATAAAGACGAGTTGACAAGATTCCACGACGAATAATGAATGGATCGACTGATTGAGAATCAAAAATATTTCCTGTATTCCATTTATTACGAACAATTCTATACAATGATTGCCACAATACTTGTATAGACATAATAATATTTTCTAGAAGATGTGTTTTTTTAAACAACTTACCGGACAAATAAAATAATGTAGTATATCAGTTATTTAACAAGTGTTTATCAAGGGAAACAAAATAAATTATCATGTTTATGTAAAAATCATAGACAATTAAAGCATTTATTAATACATACAAATAACTTTAAGTTCAACAGGAACAATTCTACAAAATATATTGTCATGTTTTATTATTTATGATATTCTGCATTGATGAACCAGACTCTTCAGACATACTGAGAAAAAAAAAGAAATAATAATGAGATTTTTTTTCATTTTAAACAGGAAAATAATTAAAATACATCTATGAACATGTAATCACTAATCGAAGTATATCGAAAGAGTTGAATTTAACTTCATATATGAAGAATGAGATGATTTGACAAAAATAACATATTTTTTATCTCCACTTTTAGTCTCCTATCAACTATCACCTATCCTCAATTTTAGACAAGATATCAAGTTTTCTCTTGTAATAAAACAAATTTTGAATCACTCGTAATTCTAATGTTTATCGTTTGTAAGTTGTGCAATAGAAAACTCGACTGACGAATTATTTGATAGGATTGTATTAATTCATATTTAACAGAACGTGTTCAATCTCGCCGAAACTTGACAGCATGAGTTTACCATGGTCTAAAATTGACTGTGATGTTCTACTAGATGAATGAATTTTCGTCGTCAAAGTAGGGTGTGGATGTGAGTGAGTTCCGATGACTGGACGAGCCACACTCACATCCACCATAAATTTATATAAATGAACATTTATCGTGGCATGTTTAGCTAACGTAACATTGGTACATTTTTTATATTTCTAAAGAATTATTATTCTGGCAAAGTTCTTTATATTGGGAGTCGCATTAAACATCTCATGTTTTAGTTTTTACCAAATTAGAAAAAGGAGTTCTCCAGTTATACTGCATAATTACGTTCCTGTTTTCAATACTGAAGTACTTTCCAAAGGACATAATAGCAAAACACTTGAAGAATATCATACAATTCATGTTTTTACGCTTCATCTAGAAAGTTGAATAATTTCTTCCATTCGGCGTCCGAGTAAAAATTGGAAATGAATCCTATAGTTATTTTCTCCATGTATTGTGTCAAACTTTCAATCCCCTCTAGAGGCTGTAGATTCCGTGATGGATACGGGCCAAGAATACGTAAAGCAACTGACTCTTCTAAATCACAGTAAACATGTACATTATTCACTTTTGGTAAGTATTTCATTAAGCCAGTAACCCATTTTCTTTGTATTACTGCATTGATCTCCAATCGACGAATATTATCGAATCGATATTTTTCGTTCATGATCTGATTTTCGTCGTCGTCAGTGATATGTGGAACTTGTGCTGACTGCACACTCAGAAATGCCAAATGAGGGCACTGTCTGGTGATTATCAGTAGCTCAGTGATCGATGGTCCGTTTGAACCTTCAAATATTAATTGCTTGATTGGTAAATACGAAATTGTGTCTCCTAAATCCTTCAAGAATTTAAAAACGGATCGCTCGTCAAAATTGACAGATAAACTATAACCTGATTGTCTAAAGGTACTGCCTAGTTGATAAGGTTCATCATTAAAATAAATCGATTTTTTAAAGTGACTTCCACTTTGATCAACTTTAAGGGTTTCTACTGACCTACAATGTTGTAAAAAATCATCGGTTTCTCGTTTAAAAATAGAAAAATCATGAAATTACTTTGGACGGTGGAAAACAGCCTCAACTGTATCTTTGTCGATACGCATTTTTGCCACCCAACCATGATCATACCAAAATGAGTCTGAAATGAAACGCATGCAATTGAAAGTACCCTTCTCGAGGATAAAATCTACGGAGTAGTAGGGCTTTATGTCCATGAGTTCACGTTTTAAGCGAATTGTAAACGTTTCCAGACCATAAAGTCTAGTCTTCATAAGTTGTCTCCATTCTTGATCATCATCAAATGAGGAGGTTCCAATTTTCAACGTCTTCAATTGACAATCAAATGTATCCAAGAGCGATGTAAGAGATTTACAACTACCTTCAAAATCTTCAATAATCAACTTTGTTAGTTTTGGTAATTTTGGAATTATAGATATGTCTTGCAAGACCATCTGTTTTTTTAGTGACTGAACAAACAAATAGCGCAATTGTGGTGTTTGATTAATTATTTTAAGTAAGCCTTCAGTATCAATTCGATGTTCTACGCGTAGTTTTTTCAAGTTGCTTGGCTCCTGATCAGCAGCTACAAAACTGGATGTGTAGACACAATCATCAGCGATGAAATGATCATAGATGAAATCATCCTCCATAGTGTAATCGATTTCTTCACTTCTATCATCGGAAGTATCCATGTCCACATGAAACGTCAAGCATTTAAGAGATTTCAAAGTCAATAGTATTGCATAAATAGGTGCAATACATTTTAATTCGTCCAGAGTTATTTCAAGTGTTATTGATAGGTGAAAGAGACATGGTAGCTTTGCTAAATCACACAGTTTGTGTGCAGATTCTATCGATATTGGATTTAGTGTAAGCGATTTGAGAAGGCGAAACGATGAATCGATACAGTATGTACGGTGGACTGTATTAATTTGTTCTTCTCCAAGTTTCATATATAGAATTCGATCTCGATTAGGAGTAATGATAGCATCGTAAAACAAATCTATCCGACTTTTCGACACATTTGTCAGATCAAACTTCAGTGGTAAAGAAGAATCCAATAAAAGAGAACGAAATCGATTGTTCAAACGTAAAAACATCATGAAAGATTTGACATTGACAAGATAATTAAATATTTCATAGAATAACTCATTACATAAATCTTCGAATTTCGTAATGGATGTTCTGTTGCATAAATAAAAAACAAAGCATGATAAAAACTGATTATTGATTATTTTACAAACTTTAAATTAATTGAATCATCTGAAATAAACAAAAAAAACTGATGAGATTACAGAGAAATATTCGGATATTCATCTTTACTTCGTTGTCTCTTAGAAGTAGTCAGCATTGAACAAGATGTAGAATGTTTTTTATTTGATCGTTCCATCTGCCAATTATATCTAGAATATTAAGAAACTCAAGTGATGTACATTTTTACGTTGGAAGTGAGTGTGGGTGTGGGCACACTCACACCCACACCTTCAAGATATTCAAATTAGACCTTTTCGAATTTATACCTCTCATATTTTGCGCAATCAAAGAGTAGAAAGAAGTTATTAACAGGGTGTGGGTATGTGTAGAAAGAATAGAATACTCAGACCTACACCCACCCCACCCCTTGAGTTTCGTCGATTCTAGTTGGTTTATAAGTTCACGAATCCTCAAGAGTTCAGAACTCATAGAACTTGGACATATCTCTTTTTTTAATGATTTAAATTTAAAACTTACCCAAATGAAATTAATTAAACTGAATGATCTAAAAAAATTCTAATAGTTTGTAAATTTTGGATAGTTTTGTGTGTGTGACTGAATATTTTTCTCGCCGAATGATTCTTTTCGTCTGTTTTATAAAGTAACAACAGTTGTATTTTTTTTCTTTTCTTTACAACTACGCATTTTATTGCGAAAGAATGTGTAAAGATTGAAAAAAAAGCCATTCAAGGTCCTACAATACACAAGAAATGTTATTGGAAAGAAAGAGAAAAAATGAATTCATATGAAATGAGTTGGATTTAAGTGCTATGCAATTAAACATTGTTGATATAAAACTGTATTCTTTTTAATGGAAAATAAATATCTCTTCGAAAAACAAACAAAAAATCTGATGAAATAGAGGGAATTCTGTTATTCGTCTAAATGTATTGGTAGACAGAATATTTCGTCGACACTATATTAAGGATAAGAGTGTCTGTTATATCATTAATGCACATGTACATTCACCCTCAGTTTAGTCAAGCTCCTCTCTACAAAACAAATTATCAGCAAAGTCTATTGAACAACTTATATTTGAATGGTGAACATATTATTGCGAGAAAGAAGTTGTCTGAATCAATGCATAATTGTAAAAAGGGAATTTTATTTATTTGTATTTGAAAAAGAGGGTGATGGTGAAAATAAATGAAGTATTTATTGACAAACAAATTTGTCATTGTAATTAAATTTCATTTTCTTCTTCGTATTCAATTGAAAGATCATAGTTTTGTTAATAATTCTTTTTCTTTTTTCTTCAATATTAATAAAAGATTTAAAAGGACCAATCGATATTTCATTTATTTTCTCTGAGTTTTGTTAAGAATTAAACTTTTAAAAAATAAAGCAAAGATTAATTGTCAAATAAATCAACATTCAAAAAAAGACAAACTAAAAGATTTGATTCTAAATTTATTTTGAGAGATAAAGAAAAACTAAATATTCAAATGAATTCTCTGTAATTACTTATGTATCTCAACAAAACAAGAGAAAATAATGTTTTCTTCTCTTATCCTTTCTCCAGTCATATCTATGAATAATTTTTTTTAATGTTTTATCGATAATAAATGGAAATATGATTTTAGGGTACGGATGTGGAGTGGATGCACATGTAAGATGACTATCACATCCATACCCTCGCAATCTTAGCTCGAAACATCACTAACTCATTTATTTCCAACCGAAATTTGTTACTGCGAAACACAAAGAGAGAATGCAGATTTTTTTTTAATTCCTTTCTATAGTATAACATTATCTCGGACGTGTGTATGAAGGTTTGTTCTTATCTATTACAAGCAGAGAAGAAACCCTTTCAAGATAAATCATATTATTATCCGTTGAAAAGAAAACAAAGAGTTTTTACCAACCTAGACTATTTACTTTGTTTGCCACTTTTTTCACATCGATATCTTGAGTGAGTGTGGGTGTGGTTGAGAGTGTACAGAGCGAAAACACCCGCACCCTCCAGATGCTACGATAAACGTTTCTAACGACAGAAATATACATGTATTATGCTCGTTAAATTACGAAATTTTGCCTACAGTATAGAAGTAAAGGAAGAAAAACTATGAGTCATACAGGTACTTGTTGTGTTTTTGGTTGTAAATGACGAAACCTTTCGCAATACTCCAGTTATTTTCAAAACATAATATCAAATAGAATTATGAGAAAAAAAGGAATGAAGCTCCCGAGTGGATTCGAACCACCTGTCTTCCGGTTAACAGCCGGATGCATTTACCGCTTATGCTACAGGAGCACGTTAACTGTTGTATGCAAACAAGTTTTTCTTTTTATCATAAGTATAGTATGCCTTGTAATTATTATTTCACAATTTGTATTGTCAAGATTTAATAGTTTAGCAGAAAGAATATTCGGATGAAATGAAAAGTCTTGTCAATAGAGATTATTAGATATTTCTGAGCCAGCATGAAAATGTTTGACTTAATAATCAGTCACACTTTCAAACAACGTGAAGGTATGAATGAGGCCATGTATGAAGATGATCAAAGACAAGCAATTAAGACTCTCATACACCTTACGATATCATAGCGAAATATAATTTTTAGTAATAATAAGAGTGTACTGTGAATTGAAAAACAATGATGAATATAATATTAAGGGTGTGGGTGGGTATGGTGTAAAGATAATATCCACACCCACACCCTCTCGTGAACACCATCTAATGATTGAAAAAAACTGATTTCAGATTTTTATTTCAATCTCTTGACGAGAAAACTATTATTTCTAGACATATGTTATACAATATATTCATTTTTGAATAATTAGTAAAAGAAGGGATTTCATCAATGACGATATTCGAGGGTGTAGCTGTGGGTGGTGGGTGAGTGGGTGTGGATGTATCGCCTTCTATATCATTGGCACTCACATCTACACCCACCCTATAAGGGTTTGTCAGGAGGTCAACTCTGTATTGTCAGTTGGATGGTAATAAGATAGTATTCGTATCACACTTCTCTCTATCTGTTTATTTATCGAAAATCATGCTCCTTATATAGGATGGATCAACACTCATTCCTAGGAAATATCTAACGGGTGATAGAGATAAATCCCATGACACATAATACATATCAAAAGATGACACATCGAGACAGAATGGAAACGTCCAGATATATGTGACATGTGTAAGAAGAAGAATGAAAAGAAAATACCAATTGAGCGAAAGAGAAAATAACAAGGACGCATATAGTAGAAGGACACGAATCGTGATGTACAAACTACTACCTAACAAACCTTAAAATGTTCGGGACTTGCGCTAAAACTCTAAATGGTTCAGCGTGACACCTTTTTTCAGAGAGTAGTCAATTTGTATTTTCTTGAATTAATTCTGTTTTGGGATCATTGATTCTATACGAAACCATCTAATGAGATCCTCAAGCGAAGTCGGAACCGGTCAAGGTGTACTGGACACACCCACAGTCGCACCCCAAGAGATCAGTCCAACTTCCATTAGATGAGACTTGCACTATGCACTCCAAAATCAGACAAACTATTATTTCAGAATGAAAAACAATTATTTATTCAATTTAAAATCAAAAGAAAAAATATGGTGAAAACAAGTTCATATCGATCGACCTCGTCGGACGCTCACACAATCTTTTGAAGCTAATTCCATTCGTCATCATCACCAAAACGATTAAAAGGAGCAAGATAATTACGAGCAACATCATAACCATCAGGATCATAACGATGATCAAAACAAAGACGAGCAGCACGATCAATCTCATCACGATCATAAGGAGCATACACATCAAGATCAACATCATCAACATCAAAATCAACGTCATTACAATAAACAACATGATTACGATAATTACGACGATTACTATTACGATAAACGTAATTACGAACAGCACGAAGATAATTATCATCAAGGCGAGCATAACTAAGATCATCAAGAGTACGGTAATGATTAAGATAAGGACGATCAGTATAATTAGCAGCAGCACGAGCAGCACCACTATTAGGACCATCAGCAACAAGAGCATGAAGAGCAGCAAGATAACGAACAGGATCAAAAGCAGTTTGGTTTGAGTGATTTGTTGATGTTTGGTGTTGGGTTACGCAATGTTGGTCGTATCCTGAGTATATATGAAAGTGAAAATGAAGTTTGTATAAAAGGATTTTTTTGAGTGAGTCAGGTGGTTTTCTGATGGAAGGCTTTTGCAGGAACAGAGTGAAAAGATATAAGAGAATAATTTAGTTGGATATACCCTTATGACTTCGTGCCGTGTAAATGTTATACATATCGCCTGTAATTTATCGCAATAGTCTTATACCGGGTTGAAAACTACTATATGCCTGAGATCTGTATGAACATTTCGTTGTATTGTGTTTATCTGTGGGCAGTGATTAGGTTCCTCAGAGCAATTTGTGATGCAGATTGTCTAACAGGAAAGGGTCCCCACGTATCTCTCTGGGATTTTCAATAAAATTTATGCGGATTTGTTAAGTCAAATGTACCTATCTCAAGTATGAAACAATTATCAGCTACGACAGCATCAATAAAAAACTATAGTCAAAATATTTTTCATAATATTGACGCACATGCTTCGCAATATAGGTGTCTTTTTCTGGCGATTTTTTCTTCTTCAGTCACGATAGTTAAAACTGAGTTGCGAACCGTCTCATAGGATATATGTAGCTCTACAAGGTAGCTTATGTTGTTTATTTTTCTTGAAATAATTGAAGAGAAAAGACCATGCGATTATTTGAGGTATACTCAGAAGTTTGACTTCGTTTTCACGAAATATTTTCTTATTTTTGAAGACGCAGTACTAGTTTCGCAACGAATGAGAACTTTTTCCTAATGTTTATGAACGTTTACAAAAAACGGCTGAACCATATAATGCAACGTCAATGACTGCAGTAAATGAACGAGTGCTTATTGCTTGCTGTCTTGCAACACAAATCTTCGAGAAAAAATACACAGTAGAAACAGTCTCAAATGACTTGGATCTTTTGACGTATAACCACTTGAATACTAGGCAATTTGATCAAAAGTGAGAATATTGTAGCCGTCAGTTGATTATGTATGAAAGAATACATTTTTAAAACGGAGTTTGCTAGATATTCATATCTGTTTGATCAATAATCATCCGATCACAAAGTTTTTGTTTCGAAAAATAATAATGATCTAACGGTTAAATATCACCAGTTGTTTCGGATGGGATTTGCATCCATTGTCGAGTAATATGAGGGCAATAAAACAACGATTATGGAAAACTCATTGCTGTCTACAGAACTCGTAAATATCAACAAAACTGTGTCTCACTCGTCTGTTTTACTTATTGTATTGTCACATAATGCATCACAAGAGATACGTATGTGCAGTGATATCAGTACGAAGGAAAAAGAGAGCACTATCGTTAACATGTGAAAGATCCGCTTTACAATTCACACATGACCTGTTTATTTCTCAAGTTTAAGTTTGAATTTTTCTTGTTAATACAGCATTGTTTTGCGTCATCCGTCTTTGAGATATATATATATAGACAGTATGCCAGTTACCAAACAGCATATCCTCAGAAACAAGAAAATGTTTCGTGAAAACAAAGTCAAATTTCCGACGCATGTAAAAAGTACCATTTTTTACTTCCAATAGTTAGTTTTTGATATGGATTAGTAGTAGATAAAATGTTATATAGTATCTATGATTTTAAAATATTGTCAGAAAACAGATATCAGATATTTACTTTCAATACTAAATTTGAGAATTAATCTACTTAGGGTGGGTGTGGGTGTCGATGCGGGTGTTTTACCCATCACATATCTTTGCCCACACATCCACCCACCCACACCCTCAAAACAAAGCCGAAATTAAACGAGCTGAAGAAGAAAAACAAGCAGAAGAAAAAGAGCCAAAGAAGAAAAGGAAGTCGAAGAAGAGAGCGATAAAGAAAAACAGCGAAAGAAAAAAGAACCAAAGAAAAAGAAGCTGAAGAAAGAGGAGACAAGGAAGAAAAAAAGACCGAGGAATAAGTAAAGGAAAATAAAGAATGTACAAGTAAAAATAAGAAATAAAATATTCACAATTTAAGAAGGAAGTGGTGGCCGGCATCACCACCAAATCAACTTTATAGTTCTCATATGCAAGTTCGATAATAATAATAATTTTGGCTTATTTTGCCATTTAAAGTACCAGTAATGTGCTTCTTTATATCTATTAATAAATCTCTTGTATACTTGTCACTCTTATAAAAATTAATGCAGAAGCTCAAGAAAGAAAAACGGTAGGTGTAGGCAGATACAAAGTACACACAACCACACCCACTCCCATCAAATCATCAACAAGCAAATAATATGATTATAGAATGTAGTCATTTTTGTGACTGTTTATGTTGTTTTTATTGTATCTCATATATGAAAGGGTGCATCTATGCTTCTTTCAATCAATCATAACCTTTTGTTTTATATGCCGATAAGGATCATATTTCTTTCCAACTATCGATTTAATCTATGGCTTATAAAAGTTGTAGTAGGAAGAATATCGATTTATTGTTTCGTAATGAGAAAAATAATGGACTATAGTTTACTATTTATTCTTTTAACTACTTTTTTACCTCAAGTCATCGGTAATAATCTAGTGCCAATATATGATGAAGATATCAGTAGATCAGCAATGTTTTATTCAGCTGCTGCTTATTGTAATCCAGTCACATTACTTCAGTGGAATTGTGGTACAGCTTGTTTCAAGAATCCTGGAATTTTAACGGTACGTCCTATTTTTCATGCATCAGCAAAATCGTATACATTCGGTTATGTTACATATAATCCTTTAACCAACAAAATAATCGTTGCATTTCGTGGTACTAATGGTTTGCCAACAAATTCAGTTACATTCGCAACATTACAAAGTTTTCTAAATTGGAAAACAAATCTTGGTTATACAATGTTAACTTATGAAAATGGTGGAAAAGTTCATCGAGGATTTTTTAAGGCTTACAATGCTCTGAAAAATCAAGTTCGATCATCGGTTAAATTTTTACTAGAAATGTTTTCTCAAGCAGAAATCTTAGTCACTGGACATTCATTAGGTGGTGCATTGGCAACACTTGCTGCTGTTGATTTAAAACAACAGTATCGATCCAAAAAGATACAAGTTTTCACATTCGGTTCGCCTCGTGTAGGAAATCGTGAATTTGTAAAATATGTCCATAAAATATTTCCATTAGGAACTGTATACCGAATTGTAAATGCCGATGATATAGTTCCACATGTCCCAACACTTCTTCAGCGATATATTCATGTTGGCATTGAAATATGGTATCCGAATCAGAATGATTTGACCTACCGTCAATGTATTTTGGATCCAGCAATATCGATCTTGGAAGATCAAACATGTTCAAGTACTCAAATATTAAATTTGGGCATTTCATCGCATTTACAGTATTTGATGTATCCGATTACTAGTCTTTGTTCGATTGAAGAATCAGACGGATGTTTAGTAAACTCCGATAACCTGTCATCCTTCAATATAAGAATAGCAAGAGATGTACTAGTAGAAGCCTCTATGAACGAAACCCAAGTGGCATTGTCAAGAATAGCTAAACGGTCTACTGTCTGTCCTGGTCAATGCAATTTATATGGGTGTAATGTTACTACTGGAATTTGTCGTAACAAATGTATAGACAGTAGGAAATGGTGGGGCTCTCGATGCGATCAACCTTGTCTTGGAAATTGTAATGTATTTGGCTGTCGACAAGACAATGGCTTATGCGCCGACAAATGCTTCGATCCAGCGAAATGGTGGGGGAAACATTGTGACAAACGATGTGGTGGCCACTGTGATAGTTTCGGTTGTCGCCAAGATAATGGTCAGTGTGTTAATGGCTGTTACGATCGATCGAAATGGTGGGAACCCAAATGTTGCAATAAGCCCTGCATGGGTCATTGTGATCATCAAGGCTGTCGGCAAGAAGATGGTCTATGCG